TGACGCTCTCTCCATTACGGCAGGCTATATTTTTCGGGAGTTAAGATAAGGGCTTGATAAAGCATTTGTGAGGATTTTAATAAAGTTTAGAAATCGGATAGAGGTAGTTTGAATCAAACTTAGCTTGATTGACTTGCATATCATATTCAACACTGAATTGTTGACAAAAAGTTATAACATCAATTTTGCAAAATGTGAACCTTCAAACTTTCGAAATAGCTGAGAAATTGAGGTTCGAATAAAGTAAGACATGATTGCCATTGTGTAAAAAAGGGAAGTTTTCGGAAAAGGTGGAGCTTTTTAAATTTCAGAACACATTTTTGACACATTTTTGAACAATAAAATAGACTTTAAAAGATACAGGTATGGTTTCTGGCTAACATATTTTTCTTGGCATTGACAAAAAAAAACATTATAATGATTATGTCATTAATATTGTGGAATTCTTTTAATTCTTGAGGGTCAATATTCTGGGACAATAAAAAAAACTTTGCCTGTTTATGGCTATGTAATATGGTAGATTCAATCAATCAATATATTAACAAAATAAATGTTCAATGATATGTATATTTTGGGGGGGGGGGGTAAGAGTGACTTATGAAATCCACAAACATTGGTTCCCAAGAACAATCTTCCTTCTAGGTGAGCGTATTGATACATATTACTACATACCTATATGAAACACATTTTATACATATTCAGTTTTTGACTGTTTCTCCTCTTTTTGGCGAATAAAGAAATGATATATTTTTCAATGATGATTTTTATGGTTTACGGTTATCATAAAGTCCCCCTTGAGTGTATAGTAATAGTCATCGCCGTCAATGTTTCCGGTAAGCAGAAGCTGAAGCTCAGAACGGATTTCTAAAGTTTGGACGATTTCCTCTATCAGATGTTCGACATCGTTTTATGACTTTTTAGAAACTACACTATGAAAAAGAAACAAAAATTATTTTAGTGTTGAAATTCGTAACAGGCATTAAAACTCTTGGATTGGAAACACATATATTTGAATTATTACCTTCATCAAAAATGTTATTTCCATTGATTTATAAATAAATTAAAGATAATGAATGGATTGTTTCAAATGTGAAATAGATTATAATACACTTTTTTGCTTTAAGAAATAAAAGTTATACCGTTTCATTTACACCTTTTCTATCATATATTTCGAACAAGCATTCTTTTTTTTAACATATCAACTTGAATGTGTAATAAATAAACACAAATTAATAACATGTAAAGAAAACAAATATAACTTTGTACTTTTTGAATATGTCATGAAATTCAAAATTACCTTGCAAATAAAGTGATTACTCATTGAATAGGGTACAGAGAATAAAATATAAAAATTAAAACTACCGGGAAATTTTTTAGACACTTTATATCTTTTGACAAATGAAATATTGTTAAAGGTGTTCCCAAGGTTGAGATATTTCTTTGAAAAGCAGGTTTTTTTCTGTCATTACTCAGTGTTAGTCAATTCGTTGTCCATGTTTTTGTCGGATTTCGTACACAGACTTTGCAGTCGCTCCATTGGGTTTTTCATTTTTCCTCTTCTTACCAGTATGAATATAATCAACAAAGCTGCGAGAACTATTAACAAAATACCACCTGCAAATGATTCAGTAAATATTATGTTAAATACATTTAATATGTATTTGTTTTTCTTTTTTTTAAGAAAAATAAACTTCATAATGAAACAAACTACAACTTCAAAGTATCACATGCAATATCCGTGATATCAACTTGACATTAACCAAAATTACCGAAAAAGATGATACATGAAAATCTTAATAATATGAAGTTAATACATATTGAATTTGTATAAACATATAAAAAAAAATGACATCAAAGTTGAAAAAGAACAAGCTCTAGTCATACGCGTCGGAATCATATTGAAAGTTGTTGAAGGGATGGTTTTGTGGTAAATCAACAAAACCAAAACGTTTGGGGACTATAACTCAATTTTCAAACTATAAACACTGTATCATGTACATCTTCTCTCAAGGAAAAAGGAAGGCTGCTAAAAACCCTTAATGCTCCTGTTCCAACCCGTATACAAGCATAGCATGTCATCGGCATAAACAAAAATATGATAGAGAAATTTTTACTTAAACAACAAGAACAAAACGAACAAGAAACACTTACCGACAACGCCTCCCGCCACTGCTCCAACGTTACTTGTTTGTTTCTCCGGTTCTAAAACTATTGCAAAAAGTAATATTTTATGTAAATTTTTTGACAAAATAAAACAAAACCTATTGATCCTGAAACGGTTACAATATGTCATTACTTGATGTTTGATTAAGCAAGAGAAAATGTTACCCGTCAAGATATATTCAGTGTGAGGTAAAATTAAACAACATGAATAGGAAGTAGAGCAAACACTGGACCTCAAAAAACATCATAGGCGGATTAAATAACATGGACTTTTCCTATTGAACGGTCACACTGCCGCGTGCTCCTTGTCCATTGCAAATGTTCGCTGGTTACAATTTTTGGACAACATAACCCCAAACAAACACACACATATTTTAGAAATCATGTTTTGTCCATGATATCCACCTCTTCTCTCCGCTTTTACCAAAAGCACACAAACTTTACATGAAAATCAGGGTTCGTATGCATAAATGTTGCTTTAATAGATTTGAAATGATTTAAGGTCAAGTTCTAGTAAATGACTTTAAACTGATGTTGTGGTGCTAAATTTATTAGGGCGTCATAATCAATTTCAACTTTCTTTTTATGTACTTTACAGATTCATGTAGAATTATATAGAAAATAGGATATTTTCAAGGCATTCAATTTGAAATCATATGAAAAGTAAGTTCAATACCTATATAAAATTTGATGTCATTTAAAAGAAAAGGCTATTAACATACACATTAGCGTTTTCTGAGAGACTGTAGGCAATCTTGATATATTTCCTTTGTCGAATATGAAAAAAAACTAATTAATTTTTATTGAAAATGACTGTTAAAAATATGCTTTTTCATCTTGTTTACCTAAAAATTATGACCCCAAACACCTTTTTGGCCAAGATAAAGCATTATTAAAGGAATTTCTTTCTCACATTTGATTAATCTCTAGGCATCTTTCATTTACTAGATCTTGACCCTAAAAATACGTGTATATCATTTCTTTGTTCAGATATAAAGATTCTTTCTCTGTCTTTTCCACAAAACACTTTATGGACAAAGTAGAATTGATCATTTTTTAATATGTCGCCCCTTTTCAGACGCGGGTGATTCCAGATCCAAAGTTTGCAGTTAAATTGTCAACAGAACGACCTACATATTGACAATCGTCTGTTGTCCAATCTGTCTCCCTTTATAATGATTGCAGCTTAAGATCATTCTTTGATGAAGACTGATATAACTCTATAGTAGCAAACGATATTCAAACCAGGGCAAATGATTAGACTGGCCTTGCCCGTCTAATATGCGCGAAATACATATATTGCCATAAAGGCAGTCAGTACCTGTAATGCAAATCATGAGGAAGTGTAAAGTCGTGTTACGCTATTATTTATTTTAATTATCTGTGATTAGTCTTAATTATTTCATTAACCATCCTATGTTAGATTGTTTAATATGGTATTTATTTATAGTACAGATACCCGTTGCTATTTGTGAGCAGTCGCTGAGTAAGTTAGACAAGTGACCTATTTAAGGTCGTTGATCTTCGTGATAAACCTTCTTTATATATACTAGTATATATAAATGTAATCGAAAATTTCTGGGCAGAGGAAGAGGCAGATATAGATATAGGGTTTGTTTTATTTGGTCAGTTTTCAATTTGCAGTAGTTTAATTTTAATTAGTCAGTGCTGTCCAAGGATATTTAACTTTGTCATTTTTGATGGATTAGGTGTTTTTACTTAAGCAACAGTCCATTGAAGGAAACAAGGATTGATTATTAATTTAACTTTCACCGGATAAAAATTTAGAGTGCCATTTACCGCCAAACGGCGCTAAATAATCACACAGTATAATTTAAAAATATATAGACTGGTAATATTACCCCCATCAAAAATAATTTATAGTTTAAAATGGAGTCAATCTCACCCATTTACTTGCATTTTATTGCCTTTGATTACATGAAAGTAAAAGCGGAAGAGAAATTGAGATATATAGTAAAGGCATACTTCGGTAGATTGCGACATGCATAGCAAAGAATCACTATGCAAAAATTTTATACAGTGGAAATTGAACATGTTACTAGGCAAAAATTAATCATATATTTCTTCGAATTTTTTGCATACAAATTCAGTTATATACAAATTGCAAATAACCATTTGTTTTTGCAGTAGTCCTTTTTTATTACTTACTTGTTGTAAATTTGAATTCTGAAACTTCACTTCTAATAGGGTTTCTTTATTATACCGATATAAATTGAAAACCATATAACGTTATACAACCGGAGCTACAATGTAGTGAAGTTGTTTACATCGACTTCTGCAAGTCGTGTAAGTTTTTCCATCATGATTTACTAGAATTATATTGTGATAACATACATTGTTATAACTAACGATTACTCTTTCTGTACTCGAAATTAACACAGAATTCAACTTTTCATCCTTGCTATTAGCTAAAATGAAACATTTTGTTTAAACCGTTTATGACTGTCAAATTTTTATTATGGTAATGCAAAACATCCATGCACAATTTTAAAAACAATTTATGAATAATTTTATTTTATGCGTTTAATTAAGAAAAGGAATTTTTGATTTATAGGTAAAATCGATGCCCTCATTGCTTATAACAACTCGGTGCCTGGTTCCACATGATTTTCACTGATGTTGCTGTAAATGTACCATTTGGAGTCATTCTTGTGTTTTAAAGTTTTCTTACCGGCCAATCAAATTCCAGTATTATCAATAGAGGTATAATAATCCTTTTTTATTACTTACTTGTTGTAAATTTGAATTCTGAAACTTCACTTCTAATGGGGTTTCTTAAGATATTATTAAAATCATGATAAAATCAATGTGATAAATTATGATTTTGCAAACATCTTTTCTTCTGTTGTATTGGCTGAGAAATATCATTTTGTTTATACCTTATGTGTGTCTTATACTAATTGTCAAATGTATGCCGGATAGTTATAAAAAAAAATTAAAATGGTTATTTCAATAGTAGCCACTTTATTAAAAGTTGCTACAATGCTGTAATTTAAACTGTTTTTTTTAAATCAGCTTAAAATTAAAAAAATATATTTATTGGAATCAATATAAAATTTTAATATTTTCCTTACTTGTTTCCCTGTACTTACAGTCATTGACACCTTTAAGTAATGTGAGATTGGCTATCTGGAAAAATATAAGATTTTTTTTCAATATTAATCACTATTCTAAAAGTTGCTGCAATGTTGTAATTTAGTGTTCTTTTAACCACTTTAAAAAAATTCCCATTGTTATTTTATTAGGTGTTGTGAAACTGTGCTGAAGATTTGAAAACAAAGTTTACAATGCAGTAGTTCAAGTCCATATTTGATTGTACATTAAAAAGCATTGCTTTAGCTTTAAAATGTACGCAGATAATTTTAATAATACAGTTGGTAACAAAGATAAAAATGAAAGTTACCTCTATATGTTGAGTAACGTAGAGCCCTGCTGAATTATAAAAATCCATCTCCATTCTTACTACCTCGTTAGAAACGTCACTCACATTCATGGCATAACAGTTCTCAAAGTCAAAGTCAATAGTCCTGCTGTATGACTCACCAGTCGGTAAATGTTCGTCACAGGGATATAAGTTGCAGTAGATTGAGTCCTTTAAGAAACAGAATGTTTGTGAAAACTGATGCCCCCGCATGCAGTCCATTGCTTAAATCAAAGTTTCTCAATTTCAAGTGACTCCAAAGATTAAGAGATTAAAATTGTGGGTACACCAGGAAAAACAGGGAAACTAGGGAAACACTGTTCTCTCAAGAATATATACTTTCAAAACAATGGTAAAAGTTACAGGTAATCTTTAAATTAGGACACCCTCCAAAGTTGATAACCTGTCATGTACTTTGATACATTTGCTAGTAAGTTTCAAGTTCTTTGGCAATTGTTTTTTAATGATATGAGATCTGACGTTATAACTAATTCCATTCATGTTTACTCCCCATAATTTACTACCGATAAAATTTTGAGTATAATTTGGTATGAAATTTTAATGAGTTTCTTTTTGCATATCAAAAAGTGAGGAACGTTTTTGGTTGCATTACCAGAAACATTCTTTATTATTGCCCTACGGTTACTCATTCAACATTAATATCAAAGTTGAATTTGGTAAAATTCTATCAAAGTAAATCAAACGTAAGGCTTAGGTAAATATTAAAAATTTGTTAAAAGCACAAGAAAAAAACACTATGCCCTAGAATCTGCGATTTGAATAAAATACGTTTGTCCTCTTTCTTAATCTTATTCCAAAACGTGAGGTAAATGTCCGTAAAACTCATCATCAATGCCATCTGTCTTTTTATCTTCATTTGTCAAATTCAGGTCCATTAAATCATTAAAACAAAGTTATAAGTAATTTCTTTTTATTTTTTGTAAAGAAAGCAATTAGTGCAAGGGATTTACGTTTATTTTAAACATATAAATGAACATCCTCTAGATCCTCACCCCAGAATATGATGTAAAATTGCTAAAATTTAAATAATTAAATATGATGCAGTTTTAGTTTTTTTTTGAGCAATGAATCACAAAAAACTTACTCTTTTTGGATTTTCATATTCATATTCCTTATTATTTATTATCTTTCCTGAACTCTTTTCAATGAATCGATATTTGATGTTCTTAACTCCACTATGAGGATCCGTGGCACCAATTACATGTATTCTTAAAAAGAAAGTAAATCTCTTGCATTCTTGAGGAAATAATATTAATAAATTGATAATTAAAATCACCTCAAAAGTCTTATTTTTTAAAAATTTCAAAACGTATCATTTCTTAATTCTTGCCTGCTTCTATAATCCATTTTATCTGTCCCTACATTTCTTTCCAATGTTTGTGAATGCACTGAAGGTTTGGATGAATCGTAATGTAGAACAAGGCGCTCTTCGTTTGTGTTACCAAGTACATCATGCGCTTTAACCCAAACACTTAATGATCTGCCATCTTCTAACGCTGTGTCTAAATCGATTGTCCGTTCAGTTTCATTGAATTTAAGATTTCGAATTTGATATGAAGGTGCAATTTGTTGGTCTTTTCCATTGTAATAAGCCACGTCGTATTTAACAATCCCGCGTTCATTAAGTATATGATTTATTGTTCTCTCACCACTGTAGTCATCATATTTTTCTGAAATATTTTTATAGCCATTACGATATCCACCGTCATATAGAGAATTAGGAAAGCGCTTGACACGATTTAAAAACTTTCCATTTTCATGTAAATAATTTATAAAGTGATTTTTCCAAGTGATTCTTACTGTCAAAGGATTATGAGTTTGCCAGTTAAAGGATGCATTCGGATTTCCAGAGGTCGCATACAATCTGTTGGAGCTGTCTGTTGTCACACTTGAGTCTGGATCATAGATAACAATACGCCGAACATACACCGAGTTATTGGCTTTGTCATTTACTTCCAAAATCCAAGAATAAACACCTGGTTTGTCTGGTCTATAGGAAAATGAATGGACCCCAGAAGAGGTTTCGTTGAATTCAGTAATGTTTAGAGGTACTGGATTATCTACTGTATCTGTGTATGGCTCTTTAAGGTCGCCTAATCCATCTGGTTCCAGCTTGAAAACCTCTAGAGCGTATCGAGCAACCTTTGACAAGTCGTCCCTCCATCCATTCCAAGTAAACTGGACAGCGGTCTGTTATAAAACAATATTTAATAAGTGCTTTCTGCTTTTACTATTTCTAATCTTCAGAAAATGTGCTGTAATTTTCACGAGTAACTTTGCATAAATATTAAATATTAGATTATATATGATTTACCTTTGTGACATCATCAGCAACCTTGAGCATATATGATGGTGTATTAATACTACAGTTATTCCTTTCAGTACAGTGATAGGGATTTTCTCTGTCAAACTTGACATCTATCATTTTGTTAACTTCATGACCTTTGAAATATTGTGTCCCTTCATTATAATATAGAGTACGATATCCTCCATTCTTTGCACGATATTGGACAGCATATCTTGAGAAAAAGTAGGAAATCACGATCATTTAATTGTTGTAGATCTACACGAATTTGCTATTTTTTCTATTTTTTTTCCTGGATAGAAAGCTTAAAAGCATACTGCTAATGCAAAGAATAGACAGAACATTTAAAGTAGTCATTTCCCTTGACTTCCAAGATATGAAGTTTTTATGAACTTTTATGCTTTCTCGCCCTCTCTAAATATTAGTAATCAATACAAACTTTTTAAATTGATTTAAGGATTGATTAAGGGGATGAATTTCATACATTCCAATTTTACACTGTTTCACATGCTTTTTGACAGAATAAGCTTTATAAACAAGAGAAGCAATGATTCATAAACCGGTATAACTCAACATTATAGCAAACCAGCATATTCTACGGTCATTTTAACAATGAACTTATGTGAAAATATAACTTATCATTGGATGGTTTTTAATTGATGCAATTGATGTTTCGAGCATTATTACATCTTTAGAGTTATATTTTTTCATACTGTTTTTGAATTGTACTCCGTCTACCTGTTTATACATAGGGCTCACGATTGGTACGACTTTGGTCATCTTAGATGCATAATCCTCATCCGCACCTGGCCCTGGGGCCATGAGACTTAGACAAACTTACTTTTGATTTTCGTCTCAATGGTATGTAAGGAAATCAATAGTGGAAAAATGAAAGTGAGATCAATAGTAAGATCATCGAAGTTTTTTTTAGCCCAAAAGCTTGATCTACCGCCCCACGTATTTCTAGAGGTCTGTTTTTTGCCTTGTTCACGTTTTGCTTTGTCTACTGTACTTAACAACTTGGGAACTATTCGTCGTCTCTACAGTTCCTCTAAATGGCGTAGGTTAGTTTTGAGATTATTATTGATTTAAAGAAAAGGGCTAAAAAATTAAGACAGTGAATTTATTTATTTCAACTTACGTATCACCAGAGTCGAAACGTACATCAAAGGGAGTGATACGCTGTCTGCACTGAACAAGGATGTCATGTATTGGACTGTCTCTGCTAACTCCATCACAAGGCAAAGTTGTGTTGTACTTTACTAACAATAAATTAAAACTCAGCAATTACATTTTGCCTGAATATGTAGGATATCTACAGCTTATAATGGGACGACTTCATTTTTTTAATGATCATGATTTTTATTAGAATTCTTAAAGTTAAAATTCTTAGACAGTCTGTTATCTTTAGTATGATTGAAAAATTAACACGTCTTTACCTCGACCACTAAAATCTGTATGTTCAACATTAATGTCTGCTTCTACGATTCCGAACTTGTATTGAGTCACATAACCAGGCTTTCCAGGTAGATTCAAAGTATCGGAGCTAAAAATGGATTGAAAAGTGAAATTCATGATATTGATGTCCCTACGATTAGTCCAAAAGACTTCCTTATTCCCATTGCTCATGGCTGAATCAACTGTCATGTTGAACATAAGCATGTTTTTCGTCTGGCTGTAATAGCCAAAGTCTATCGTACTCTGCTCAATTGCTGGGTAGTAGTGGTCGGGACTGCTGGGAACTATATGTAAAAAATGATAACAAACAGAAAGATAATTTTGATAAAGATTATAACATTTTGATACAGTAGTGTATATGAATATTATTCAATCATCTCGAGATTTTTAAAGATTGTCTACTTGTATTAAACGCCAGAAGTACAACTATAAATTCATGACTGTAGGAATAATTCTTTGTACTCACAATTCAAGCAGTTTCCTATCCCTTTTGAGTTTTGTGGGAAGAAATTATTCAAGCACTGGCAGGTGTTATCTCCCCTGCAGTATCCAGGAAAACAAGGTCGTAAGTGAGAGCATGTGCCGACTGAAAAAAATTTACTGCTGTCAGCGTTTAATGATTATGCCCAGAAAGACACACTGTAATTGATCAATTATAAAGCTTTTTTATTGGACAATAATTTAATTTTAGTTGTAACACGTGATTTGATTGGATAAAAGATTTTATCTATATCGTATAACATAAGTTGCCTACGTCACAATGAGATACTTCAAAAACATATTACTATGCTAAACGTTACTTTTAAAATATACATGTACTCAATTGAAACCATTTTTAGAGTAAAAAATTGTCTTATTGTCTGCACTGAAATTATTTATAAGTTATAAGGAATGAAGCTTATTTTAACCTAAATTATACGATATAACATGATTTGGGAGAGTTTACGCTTTTTTATAAACTGTGAATAAAGCAGTAACTGCCCAAAGTTACGTCGTATAACATAGGTTAAAATTAGCTTCCGTCCCCAAATGAAATAAACTAAAGATGTAATAATGCAAATGCGTGTAGAAGGTATCCCAGATTCAAACGACAGAAATGGGGTGCTCTAGCACAGGTACTTTGATTTTATAATTATCAAGTTACCGAATAAACGTAGAGGTATTTAACTCCGTGCCCCTTACCTGAAAGACAATACTCTCCTACATATCCTGGGTTACATTTGCATTTGCCGGGGGTCTCACATTTTCCCCTCAAGCTTCCTCCGCAATCATAAGGACAAATTGCTGAGAATTAAAAAATGATTTTTCAAGTTAGTCTGTTAATTATTCTTACGACCTTTGATATCATATATTAGGAAAACATTGGTTGAATTTCGTATGGAATAAGAATAGAATAGACTTTCCAATACGTGCCTTTATTACAGTTTTGGTCCCCGTTATGTCTCCACCCAGCACAACAGTAAGGTTCCCTATCTGTGTATTCCTCGCTTATCCAGCCCCAGGCACAACATCTGATGTAATAATGTATAAAAATTAATTGTTTGTTTTGAAAGAATACTTAAACACTGATAAATTTCTACCAATAAATCAGATACAGGTGTAATTAAAAGTCACTGATGATATGTAGGAATTTAACCTTAAAGCAAAATAAAAATTTCAACTAGTTTATTTTCGAAAGAGTTTTACATTGATTCATAAATGCACAAGTTCGTGAAGAAGCAGAAAAATATTTCTTAATTATTTTCTTTATTTCTTAATTTAAAATTCAAGACAAAGGATATTATTGAAAAGAATATACTTAATACTTGGACATTTTATAATGAGACATACCGGTATTCGATAATATAACGAGTTAAAAAATACTTTAACACATGCAGACCGTATGATATAGTATTCACAACCACACTCTCTCACCCTCCCATACAGAGACACACACAATAAAATTACCCCTGCCAGGTACTGTATCTACATCCCCAGACCCAGCGACACTTCCGTCTAGTTCGATAGCATAGGTTTCTAAAATGATAAAATAAAAAAGATTTATTTAAAAAAGAAAAATACCTAAAATCATAAATATCAACCCATTATAATTTCCCAGTCTAATGTTTACGTGTTTGAGGTTACACCTACGTATGTTTCAGGTACAATTTGAATTTATCTTTAAATTTTTTTTACAAAAAGTTTTTGAAATACACTCTAAAAACAGAAATATTCGTGGTGGATTAAATATTCTTTATTTCGTTGTTCACAGTTATCAAATTAAAAACCCACATAGAATTTTTTATATGGCTATATCTTGAATAGGACTCTTACTGTGTCAATCGTATTCTTGGTTCGAGCCCTACAGTCAACATGAAACTGTTTGGAATAGAAATCAACTGTATGTTAGACACTGGATACATGGTGACAACAATAACGGAAAGTTTTTATAGAAATAACATTGAAGCGATGTGCAAAAACATTAGGAATGAAATGAAATTAGTTTAAAAGCAGCATATGGAATTTATATTCTTTTTATTGGATATATAGAAGCTGACGTTGAATGCATAAGAAAAAAGAACGCGGTATCTTTATAGTTAAAGATCCAGAAGATACAATGACCAGAAAACGTAAACATAATATCCCGGGAATACAGTGTAAAGACATTTTTTTTTCAAAACATGGAAATTATTATGAAAAAGTGTCTGAAATATCCAACAATTCAAATTAAAGTTGAAGTCAGCATTCCGCGTTTGTGATCAGGAAAATAGAAATCTGCATGGATTTTGCAAAACTGTACTCTGCAATACATCCTCTTAGAATATTATTGCCAATATGTGATTGTTATCAAGACGTTCTGATTCCTGTGACCCAAATCTCTGTATTTCTGTTAATTTGAACAGCAAAGATTCGACAGACCAAGAAAAATGGAACATAGAAAAATAATTCTACAAATATCAAGATGTATTTTTGCAATCGGATTTAGATATATATACTGACTTTACAGATACAATGAAACACAACATCCTATTGACTGTTGAAGTGCCCGTTAACTTACCTTACAGACGAATTCCACCGACTCAGTTCAAAGAAGTGAACAACAAACATGTATTAGAGAACTATTACACTTTAGCCCTATGAGTAAACATTATCATGTCGGAATCAAGTCGTGAAATTCTGCCAATTAAGTATTTGGGATTTTATTTTGAATCTGAATTAATAAAGGAAATATAATTTCATCTTCTAATGATTCTAGTGTTTTAGATAGAAAATAAAAGAAGGAATTATTAATAAAAATGAAGTAAACTGGGAATTAAACTTTGATTAAGAATTTAGCTGTAAAATTATATATTTTACCATGTTTACTTGATTTCAATTCCAACTTTTTCAAAACTTCAAATGTGTTCAAGAATGTTAATCTTTCTCCTATGATTAAACAGTTGTGTGAATTATATAACATTTCTGATGTAAGGACTTTTATTTCAACGCATTGACTCTATACATCTGGCATTTAATATGCTTCCACTACGTCAACAGCAGCCATGATAAGGTTTTCCCCATGTTGCTCAAATTAAAATATCAAAATCAGATTTAACTGCTGTTATCAGCAGTGCAGTGTTATAAGATGCAGCTTTTCTTTTTTTATGAAAGGTACAGTATCATATGTAGAAATTAAAATTCTAACCAAACGTTCCCTAAGTACTTATAAATATTAGGAAATGAAAAAATTGCATATTCATGTATTCAATGCTTATGACATTGGGAACGTTATATAAATATTAATTAAGACTATTTACCCTGCCCATGCTGCAGCTAATCCAATTAATGACAAGGCACAAATAAATACAACAATGTCTTTCTTCATGATTGATACAACAGTCTTTAACCTCTTGCAATATCTTCCTCACACCAGATTTTCTGGGAATATGAATTCGTCGTATTTTTGACGTCAGGTGTCGCTGGTGTACTGGAGGTGGTTACGTAAACGCTTTAATCACCGCAGCGCTTGTAACAATGTAAACAATAAACAAATGGACATGTCTCAACTTTTATATGTATGAATTTATTAACTCGCATAACAGTCTTTCATTCAATCGTTCATTCATTTAGAATGTGTTCCTTAATTGTGAATAAAAACATAATAGAGTGATTAGAATTACAACAAACTCTTCTTTTCGATACTTGTAGTCTAGCTGAAAGATTTACAAACTAGTGTATCGTTTTTATCATTTTATCACTTTTCTACAACTGTATAAAAATAGTAAAATCGCATTTCAAACACGCAAATTAAAAACATATCTCTAGGTTCAACATTGATAAGATGAATAGTTAAACATATACGAGGGTTGTTAGAAAAGTTCGCGGACACATTGAATTACGGAAAATCTATTGTGTACTGTGAAGTATGTCCTGTGTCTGAATAATTATCTATATTGCGTTTATTAGTATGTAAAAAATCAGGTCCATTTAATAAAATCTTAAAAATTTACAACGAATTTTTATATGAGGTCATGGGATTCACGGAGCAATCACTTGACGTAAGGCGACGTGACAACCAGATTTCAACCCGTTAAGCTTTGTCGTAGTTCTAAAAATCTTTCACATTTCTTCAGATTTTTCTTATCTTTTTTCTAGTTTAAAATTGAATATCTATATCAAGACATGTTACTTTTCTACTATAATGTCTTTTGTACTGATTCGAATATTATTAAGATCAAAATTTATGCAGTTAATCGATGAGGTATGGAAACTATGCAAAACCATATAGGCACAACGTCCATGCGATACGAGGGTATTGGAGTATCGATGGAGTTAATCATTGAAAAATGTTAATCCTTCCATTCTTATAAAGCAACACACTTTTGAAAACTCTTGTCTTTTGTATGTGTAGGATATTCCCGGCAGCATCTTTAACATTTTAATCTCTTTTTAGACATTTTCTTGTCTGCACACATAATTTTTACGTAGTGCAGTGCTCCATGACACACAATGACGTTCCGATTTTTGGCTGTGTTTTTACGCGTTGATCATTTTTAAATGGCTATAACATAGTCATATACCCTCCAATTTAATTCAAAATTTCTCCCAATGACGTTTCATGAATACCTTAGCGACAGGTAAAATATCATAAATTTCTTTGCGCTACAATTGTGCAATTTTAATTTTTAATACAGAGTCTTTGTGATGTAAACGTGCCAAATTGTAGCATGCTCCGTGAAGCAAGTTTTATTAAAATAAAAAAGCTGTATATTTTTCAATGATCACCGGAGAGTACCAAATTTTTGTATGTTTATTGGAAAATAGGTTAAGATTTTATCTGGAAAGTTTGAACGGTTTCGCAGAAATAGCACGCTCACAATAAAACTTTTCTAACACCCCTCGTATAAACCATGATGTAAGCTTTTTTCACAACATCACGACAAAGCATTACAAACAACAAACAGTTTGGCAATTTTTCATATATTGTATTGTTCATTCTAACAAATTTTGTCAAAATGAAAAAATCACAATCAAAACGATTGTTCAACTCTGTATATAACCATTCCCCATAATAAATCTAAATCAATTTTTTAACTATTAGTGACATTCTCTACGAACGAACAATTTCTAAAACGAGGTAAATTCTTGAGAAACGGGGTGATATAACCACAATATCAACAGTTTCATTTAAAGTCATCATTTTGCAATTTCTATGCTTGATACAATTACTCTGTCACCGAAATACAAACTGGGAGACCAATTGTTATTGCATAATTGTTTTATAATTTTTCTCAGGAATTGTGTTTTAAGGTTACATTGTCTCCCAGTCTTTTTTATTCAGTTTTATGTATTATATTATATGTAGTCATTTCATAATAAATGACATATTTTTGGAACAAACATGTCTTGTGTTATTTGGCAATAAACAAGCTCAATGTTGTCAGACGGGTGTTTAATTCAAGAAATGAAAGCTGAACTTAAATGATATTTTATGCTAGTAAAATTATTTTAAGTTAAGTTTCATGTATTACATGTTAATTTGTATTTCCCCACTTTGTGCCTCTTTATCTGTAAACCCGTGGGGACCCCCCGGTAATTTTACCCTTTTGAGATAAAAGAACTAGCATCATTATATCTACTGCTATTGTAAAGATAAGACGGCCAAACATTTGCTGAAATATTTTTTGGATTACCCACCTCCATCCCCAAACAGACTTTAACTGTACATTAGGCCACCTCAAACTCATGTGTATGTTTTCATTGTAATTAATTCCTTTTATATGTATATTATATTGTTAGTCATATCCTATGTAAGCCAAAGAATGGACTTTTGAGCCAATTCATATGTATAATGCCATATTTTGGAGGCCACCTATTTTGCCAAATTATATATGTTATGTAATAGTCACATACTGGGAGACCAATTGTTATTGCATAATTGTTTTATATTTTTTCTCAGGAATTGTGTTTTTAGGTTACATTGTCTCCCAGTCTTTTTTATTCAGTTTTATGTATTATATTGTATGTTGTCATTTCATAATAAATGACATATTTTTGAAACAAACATGTTTTGTGTTATTTGGCAATAAACAAGCTCAATGTTGTCAGACGGGTTTTTAATTCAAGAAATGAAAGCTGAACTTAAATATAATTTATCATTCAGTAAACTGTTGTATGGCGTTTATTATACTAATTGTTAGATCATTATTGACAAACCGAATTGTCTACGGATTTTTCCGTAATTTTTTAATGTGACAATTGTTCGGAGTAACAGTTGTTTAAACTGGTCGGCAGGGAATGCTCACTCCTCCATGGCAACTGATCCCAACTCTGAATTTAAACACCCCAATAACTGCTTCAGCCGGATATTCGACAGATCAATTTATCGTCCCCATCGTGAGGCAAGAATGACTTCCGGCACTATGTATCTCAGGTGTAAATCTCAATAGCAACGTTCTATGTAGCCGGACACTAGACGTGAAAATCACAGGTCTTCTAAACGGATGACGCCTAAAAAGGGGAATCTCGTATCATGGTCGTTTCAGCCCGATACCGTTCCTTCACTGAGTGCGAAGTAAAAGTCTAAACTAGAAATCCTTCATTTATATATAATGATGTCACTAAATGAGTAATATTAAGATTCAGAATGAGATTAGAACAAAACAAATTCGATCAAAACATTTTAATATCTAAAATCATATTTACTGTTTATTCCATGTATTGAATGACTTTCACTTCTCCTGAATAAGCCATCCCTGCCCACAACCTGCCCTTACTGTCAATACTCAATCCACAGGGCTTATCTAGTCCACAATTGTCCACACATCTCTGGAACTGTCCGTTCTCATCAAGTATATGTAGACAGTTATTGTTATAATCGGCAATTATTATATGACTCATGGAGTCCGTCACAGTTTTGGTAGGGACAAAAGGCTTCTCCTTCTTAGCAGGTGTACCGTCATATTGAAATCGGATTATTCTTGCATTGTCTAATACTATCACTGTGTTAGCATAAAGATCAGAGACACAAATGTCCCCATTGTTGTTCTCTGTCAAAAGCAGCATATCGTCGCCATTTTTAAAAATATCTTTCCCATTGTTATCTTTAAATATTTCTTCTTTCACTTTATTTTCTAGATAGTGGACGATTTTGTTTTGTTTTCCATTATGCAGATTTATGAGAATGCCTCCTGATCTTGTACGGCACAGTCCTCTTGGTGTCCAGTCTTTAGATATAGTGGCCATTACTTCTGCTTTCCCGTCTCTAACAATGTTTAAAGATCTATTTTTAGCATCACCGTACATCAGATATCCCTGTCTAGTTACTACAATGTCATCAGGGAACTCTGTACATGTCGTCTCGATGCTATCTTTAATGGACCCATGTATGTCCACACGTCTTATGTTTGGGTCTTCTCCAGATATCCAAGCTTCATCTGCCCCTACACATACTACTCTCCAAAGTGGTTTAATTCCAGTATAAGTTGTTGTAATAACTCTTGGCTTGTCTAGTAGCTCTCTCAAAGAAAAGTAAAATTCATCAGTTAAACCAGAATGTAATACCTGCGTCAGTGTAGCCCTATATTCTCCAAGCTCTACACTGAGTTCCTTCCCCATGACCGTGTTTGTTTTCAGAAAAGGAATTCTTATATCAACAGGGCAATCAGTACAAATATTTAGATATTCTGTTTTGGATTTGTAGTCGGTAACTTCAGATACTCTGTTGGTTTTCAATATTTGTTTGTTTTTTTCAACTGCTTTCTTCATTTTCGGGATCAAAGATGTAAGCTCTCTTTGATGTGTTTCTAGAATAGTCATATACTCTACTTTTTTAGATTTGATTAAAGGGTCAAGTTTGTCGAAAAAATCGTCAACTTCATTGTGCCAAAATTGTCTTTGTTTTGTAGTTTCTCGCTCTATCTCATCAAATTTAGCACTGCATTTAGAGGCCTTGCTTCTGATATTCACCTCACTCTCTTGGAACTTTGGAATAATAACAGTTTCAAGTTTCTTAGTTTCTTTTTTGATTATTTCCTTTTTATTCGCTACAACGTTAGATAATTCGACTGCATCATGGCCTTTGTGATTGCTAAGGAAACATTTAATGCATACTGGGACATCACATGATTGACAATAGGCCTCGCACCGTTGGTTTGGATGGACTTCACATTCAGGAAACACCATTTGTATCTCTTTGTTCTTGTAAGAAACAATATTATGTGTGAGGGAAGAATATTTCTCGACATGTTTACTGACACAGTCCAAACATAAATTTTCTTGGCAATCGTTACAGAATTTCTGGGTAGGGTTGTCACAGAGGTCACACGTTATTACGTCTTGAAACAGGGAAGTTGGAGAGGCCATTTCCAGACCCACTGTGAAAAGAATGATAGCCTAATAAAAATCACCATTATAATCCCAATTAATAAATTTATTATAACCATCCATAATAACCATAATGGAACATTTTAAATTGGTTCTGAATTTATTGTAGTAAAAATTTCTCAGATCTATAAATCAATCAGAAACTTCAAATTCATTTACAATGTACCTACCTGTGACACATTGGCGTATTCACTCTCTCGATAATGTTTTCATGTATACGTTGAACTTTCGGTTTGTTCATACTTCCTGTTACGTTAATAATGGTCGTTCATACTTATCAAGTTGAATAAGCTACTGATTTCAATACGAATACCTTTTGATGACAGGTTTAAGGAAAAGATATTTTATTTCAACCAATGTGAGGGGTATTTCTGACCTGACACTCAGTAATTTGATAAAAGAAAAATCTAAACCTCAAATTTAAATTTTTGAAGCATCTGTATTTCAAAGGGATTAAATATGCTTTTGGGGATTCTAACTAATGAATATAATTTTAAGAGGGTATATCTTTCGTCAGAAGGACACTGATAGAGAGAAATGCAACTATTAGAGTGAATTCATTACCATAAGATATGTTCAATTTATTTTTTCAGTTTGTTAGTTTGTTTAATGTTTTTGATAAATGGACCAAGTAAATTGTACATGTCTTACCTTGTCACTGGTCAGTTGAGAAATTATTTAAATAAAAAACAGTTCTGATTGCACACACTTGTACTAAGAAGATGATATTTAAATGATGCTTAAGTTCTATGTCTATATGGTATTGGGAGATAATGTTATTATGTTTTCCCACAATTTGTTGCGCCCAGTCATTAGCAGAATGATTTTGTATTCTTTTGAAGCAAAATTCCTTCAAAATCTTATACATGAGAAGAAAAAAAACACTTGCTGTAGCCTTCAAGTCGACTTTTAGATATACCGAAGATAACGTATTATCAATAAAAATAGTAAGAGCTATTTCCATTCATATGTCGACACGATGTTTCATATTGGATATTTTACTATAAAGAGACGTTAATGGTTATCTAGCAGCAAAGCTTTATGTTTAACGTGATGCCTTTAACTTTTCAATCGTCAACTTACTTATACAGCAACATACCCTTTTCACCTGCATACGCGGTTTAAACTCTCAGATGAACATGTTCGACATAAGAACAATTTATAAACGGATCGAGGTAATTTATTGGCAAACAAGCTGAAGAAACAAGAATGTCAACAGTCTCGTTTAAGTTCATCTTTTCATAAGTTCTGTGGTCGATACAAAGGCCTTGTCATTATAAATGCAATCTATCTTTTAGCCAAATACCATCATTTAGCCAAATACTGAATGACATTTTCATACAAATAGTTTGATCATTATTTTCACACTGAATTTTTGACGTTTAAGTCATTTCCCGATCATCTCAAGGCTGACATGATGGTCTGAATGGTCAGCAGTGGACGCTTTCCTTCATGGCACCTGATCCAACTTCTTATTTTAGATGTGTTTTACTCTGCTCCTGTATTGGATTAATTTGATTTTGGAACTTTTTTTTACTCATTTTTACAAATACTTATCTAAGGTCTTTCTAATGATCATTACAATTTGAACTTCATTAGTTGAGATACAAGACAGATTTAGAGCATCAAACCTTTGTTATGTAAACAAGGTACGTGTCATGTTTTTCTTACATAGGTTAATATACTTAAAAATGTCCATTCAAAGCAGACAATTTCAATGAAGAAGTTTATTCTTAATACGTTTAGACAGCATCTAGTGATTTGCTGAATATCATGTTGTTATGCATATGATAATTTCTATATGTAAACAAAAACAAGGCACGAGCCTTGTTTACGTTATGAAGAACTTTAAGTTCTGTATCTCATTTGTTAATCAACAAATGATGTTCACATTTTGCTGATCATTAGATGATGCCTTACTTAGGAATTGTAAACATTAAAATTGGTTTAAAATTTCAGTTGAAACTGTGTCCATGTCCCTTTAATTTACTAAGTACCTTTGTTGACTATAGTTAGCTTTGTTTTTAATGATAGTTATATTTTTTCTATGGGGCCTCAAGCTACAAATTTCCACAGAGTATTAAAACTTTTTCGTTAATTCAATATTATTCATACTTTTTTTCATATTGAATTACATTATCACATTTGTTGGTTTTTTAAAACAAATTTACATTTACATTTTTTTAAGATCGATTTTTTGCCCTTAAATTCAAAAACCAAGTGTTGTGGGATTCTACAATTCTCGAATGGAATAAAAAAACACTGTTTTTAGTTTTATTTGAGATTTAATCTTTGATTTCTGTAATCTACAAGATGCTCGTAGTTCCATTCGTCGTACCAACGACAGCTGCCATTTTCATATTCATCACAATTTACTCGAGGTGTTCCAGGCGCACGCGCAGGAAGATCTGGTTCCGGCGGACGCTTACCAAGGGAATAGAAATTCTTGTAGTAATACCTGACATAAAAAAGGGTTTTATTACGATTGACCAATAGTTTCCTCTTAGATATATATTCTTTATACATTTCTTTTTAGGTAGGTAGCAATGATAATGTTTGACAAAAATAAAATCAGTAGCACTCTTTAGTATTTTTGTATAGCCTATAACTCACCATCTCTGTATAATGTATTTATGACCTTTATTGACCACTGCAGCATTGTGTACGGACATTGGTTCACATTTGCCCTCTTCATTCATGTTGTTCCAGATCAGAGCACGTCCCTTTCGGGGTTTCACCCAAATACCCAGTTCTGTTATTTAATTAAACAGTTATTAAAGTTTAATTCCTTAAACTAAATGAATAAAGACAGTTCACGTTGTCATACACGTGTCGATATTAAATTTACAATTTTACTTATGTGCTTTATATCTATAGGTTTTGATCGTGAGTTCCATCGACAACATCAGTTTCTGTTTG